GGGAATTTTTTTACCAAAATAATGAAATTTTTGGTAAAATAATCAGCTTTTTGGCGGGGAACTAAAGCGGCATGCGGCGGTGGACGGAACCGGATTTTTCATTCTCATGGGCCTTAATGTCTCGAGGCTACGGGTCAGGCGCCAGTCCATTCGCTTTCATACTAAGCAGAGCCAAAGATGGCGGCGGTCGCGCCAGATGTTACGAAATAAGCGCGCTGGGAAATAAATTTTCACGATTTGAGAGTTTAGATGAGGGGCAAGAACCCTAACCTAACCCTAAACCTAACGCTAACCATAAACCCTAACCTAACCCTAACCCTAAACCCTAACCCTAACTCTAACTAAGAAAAAAGGGGCTTGAACGACACGTTTGCTGCGTACCTCCATCTTCGGCAATAAAAACGACCGTGGATATTCGTCCGATGGCATCTGGCACGTCTGTTCGTATGTGCGCTCTTCGCCAAGAGCAGTTGTTTGATGTAAGGTGCCGCAGGCGCCACCGGGCTCTAGTGGCCGCGAGATCGGAAGTGTGAACGGCGGGGTCTGGGGGGGTTTCCCCCAGCCAATTTCTAAAATCTAGACGCTCTAAATTTTATGATATTAGTATTCTATTCGCTTGCGTTTTGCTACGGCAGCCCTAATCAATAATAAGGCTGTACGTGACTCCCCTGCAGTCACATGCGTTGCCGTTATGTGGTTATACACCATAGATAGTGTTTGGTAGCTTATATTTGGCCTAATATGAACAAAGGTACCAGGCGTTATAAGTCTATAATGATGGCGTACTTGGTAGGTTTAGGATTGTGATATAGTATAGAGTCTAGCTTTAGAGTTAGAATATATTAGTGGAAATTAGTATTAGAGTTAGGTTGGAGAGAGGCAGGCTCTCCCGTAGACTAGCGCATTAATTACAATTTATGTAATACAAACATGAAGCAGGCGCCATGCGCAGCAACTGCTCACGGACGAATAGCGGCATACGAACAGGTGTCCGATCTCGGACGAAATATCCAGCGTCCAAAAAAATGGTTCGGTAGGGCACTTAGGGGCTATACCCACGACTTCGGACTTCGTTAACTCCAGACGCAGTCACGGTTGTAATAAGATTTCAGTTATTGGAAGAGACAGACAGGGTGTGATTGTTTATGTGTTATGGCTTATGCCTTGTGTCGTGAATCACCACGATCGCGATCACGACAACAGTCACTGCCACAACCATGCACAACCAGAGACACAACAGACACCAAAATTACAAATCAGTGCACCAATACACTGGGTACCGCACACTAGTTATCACGTGACAAATATTGTTCCAGTAGACTGGTACTCGCCTCCCACCTCGATTACTCGATGGAGTATCATCGAGGACCCATCGAGTAATAGCCGAGAGGTGGGACGGCGGGTACGCAGTCTATTGTTGCAGTCGCGCTGAAAGCGCCATCTAGTAGGCAGGCAGCAGGGCAAGTGGTTCTCCTTTCTGCAAGATCTGTTTACGTGTGAGATGAGGATGCGTTGATTGTCATCGTAAGAGATTGTGTAGCGCAGTTAAAGTGTCTTTATATGTTCTGTGGTCGTATAACACTTCGATATACAATAATTCACAATGATATCCAATATCGTTATAGCAGGGCAAGTATTTTAGGAAGTAGTCGATTTCTCACAATTGTCCCCACTCTAGTCTCTAGTCTAGACATGTCATTGTCGTCATTGATATGAATCATTGAATGATTGAAATGATATAGGGGCTACTAGCCACACTTGGTCTCTCTTATATATTTCTATGGTTATTACCAAAAATCAACCTTGCATTTTTTTTTTTATAGGACATTGCTCGTAAATGCGTGTGCAGTTATCAACTTGAAATTGTAAGTAGTAGCCTGTATTGCTCTTGAATGTACAAAAATAAGTGTTGTTATGTATTATGACACTAGTTGTTTGTTAATTTCACAGAGGCTTGAACCCTACTTGCTGGCCCATGTACGTAACGCATTAATTGTTACGCAGTGGCTACGCGTCCGGAACCGGTCGCCTATCCTCCAGGCTACGCGTCAGGACATCCACTCACACAGTGATCGCGCGACTCGCGTAAACGCATGATTGCGCAAGGGACGCTCTGCTGCCGTCTATCCTTTCATCCGTCCTTTCTCGCGCTCTCTCTCTCTCTCTCTCACACGCACACATGCGCAGCTCTCTCTCGCTCTCTCTCTCTCACGCATACACAAACACATTCCCATTCCCTCTCTCTCTATCTCTCTCTCTCTCACACCAGTTTGTAGGTCTCGAGGCGGTCTTGGCCTCGTGACCAGCCTAGAGACGCATTTTCCTGTGTCTCGTCTTGCCTCGGAGTGCAATGACTCGACTCGGACTCGGACTCGAGCCCTCCAGACTCGAGGACTCGGGTCGAGGCCGGCTCGAGCCACATACATACATAGTACACAACTGTACATATTGTAATACGCAGTTTACAAGAATTTAAACTAAAACTCCTAGGTTTTCTAGATACACGGCCTAATCTTGTAACGTTTTCAATGGCTCGATTAAGATTCTTGTCCTTTGGTTTGAATCTGCTGTCACTTCGTCCTTTGCGCTTTTTCTACCACTTCTTTCTTTTCTCTACCATTTCGAAGGTACTAGCACTCTCTCATTTGTTCAACAAGCCATGTCATTCTCGTAAACACAAAATGGATCCGTTACTTTGACAACGTTTCGTATGACTCGTGTCACTGTGTTTTCGGCTGACTATACACTTTTGAATGTCTACGATGCCACTGTTGCGATTTTCTCCCTTTTTTCCCTTTTCCCGATTTTTTCCTTTTTTCCTTTTTCCCGATTTTTCTCTTTTTTCCGATTTTTTTCCCTTTTTAATCAAAAGTGGACTCGGACTCGGACCGACTCGGACTCGGTGGTGTGGACTCGGACTCAGACTCGGGTGGCGCAGACTGAGACTCGGACTCGGGGAGGGGGGGGTGCGGACTCGACTACAACACTGTCTCACACACACACACACCCAGGCTTTCAGATTTGAAAAGTACAGGAGGACTACTAATGACTCCCCTAGGACACCATAGGGGTCTTTTCACGCTCCATAATCACACCCTTAAGAGGCCGATGGAGAAGCTCCACTAAAAAATCACACCTTAAAAGGGAATGTGGAGAGCTCCTTGAGGGCTCTCCACCATGCCTCTTGGTGTGATGATGGAATCATGACCAATCTCTCAGTCTACGAGTAAAATCCAAAACGAAAATTGGGATGTCATGTCAATCCACTGATTATCATTCATCTTCACCTTTATTCATTCAATGGCTTCATCATGATTACATTCTTTTCATCCAACAACCCAACACTAGCACACAGATTAATAAAAGAGTTGATCGGATGTAAAAATAAACTTGTTTTATTTATTCTGATCTTCATCCTTAGAGACGCTAATCCATGTACCTGCATATTTCACCACAAAATATCATCACAATCTATCAACAAACTAGCCAAATTACTTGTACGTAGTAGCCACGTATGTAGCCCCTCCAGCCCTACGACTGTTTCACGTCGGCAGAAAACCACTTCTCGCCACGTATAGTGGAAAACGAGCAGGTAACTTGTGGCTACCGTGTAGGTACCTATATTTGGATTCTGTTGTCTAGTTGTATAAACCAGAGGGTAGTAACCTGTACCTCTGTCATACGTTCAGTTACTTACACACCACAAATTGTCATACGTTCAGTTACTTACACACCACAAATTGTCATACGTTCAGTTACTTACACACCACAAATTGTTGTGTGTCGCTAACCTTTGTAATAATTGTGACAGGTGGCATTGCCAGTATTTACTAGTTTTACTAGTATCAGGAGCTAATAATTAGCTCCTGCTAGTATTACTAGTAGTACTAGTAGTACTAATGGACTTTTGGTGCACGATATTTCAACCACTTTTATGAGGCGCGATGATGCACGCACCATGGCACAATTTGGGGTGCGCGGGCGCGATCACGCCCCTTAAAAATGAAAGCCTGCACACCACACACACACACACGGCAATCAGCAGAGCGTCCCATTGCGCAATCATGCGTGTATGTGTCGCAACCTCACTCCGAACCTCCCTAACCATTATTCATTAGCTCCAAGAAATGGTATTGCTAGGCCTAGGCTAGGGTTAGAATACCCCTAGAATAATGTATATTGACGTTAGTCACACAGCCTGGTCAGGTTAGTTTACCTAACCATATGAACGATAACCTAGTTACTGTAATTCTGACCTCTGTCATTAAAATCTGAGATGCGGCTAAGGTCGCCTTGGCCCCAGTAGACAAATGAATTGCCACGTCACGTTATATGAAAAATTTTACAATCTATTCTTGGAATTTTGAGTTAACAGTGCATAGTTTGGAACAATGTTTATGTTAGAAACACTACATGGGCAAACTATGCTGTGAAAATGGCACACACTGCTTTTTGTGAGGAGTCGATCAACTTTTATTTTACTCGTCCCACTACGCGCTTGCAACTTGTAAGATGTCAAGTGTCTTAGCAGCATGTTAAAGCGGCAGCCAGTTGGTCCTACGCTAATATTGAGTGAACAACACACTAGGGCTGTAACGATCCACCGAAATCGAATCGGATCGCGATTCTCTTCCCTCGATCCGATCCTCGATATTTTTCCCTACGGATGAAAGGATAGACGGCAGCAGAGCGTCCCATTGCGCAATCATGCGTGTACGCGAGTCGCGCGATCACTGTGTGAGTGGATGTCCGGATGCGTAGCCTGGAGGCTAGGCGACCGGTTCCGGACGCGTAGCCACTGCGATATAATTATAAATAAGTGTGCTAGTCATGCTTTTTGTGTATATAATCCTTGGTAGGCCTAGTTATCCAATTTTATGAATTCAGAATTTTATTGTAAAAGTATGCTACCCTGGCACCCAGTATTGTAAAAATTACAATGTATATGATGGATAATTGCCTAAATAAATGAATAAAAAAATGTTCGGTAGGGCCTATACCTCACGACTTCGGACTTCGTTAACTCCAGAGTCCAGTCACGGTTGTTAATCGATTTCAGTTATTGGAAGAGACCAGACAGGGTGTGATTGTTTATGTGTTATGGCTTATGCCTTGTGTCGTGAATCACGCACGATCAGCGGATCACGACAACAGTCACTGCCACAACCATCACAACCATAGACAAAACAGACACCAAAAATTACCAAATCAGTGCACCAAATACACTGCCGCACACTAGTTATCACGTGACAAATATTGTTCCAGTAGACTGGTACTCGCTCCCACCTCGATTACTCGATGGTAGTATCATCGAGGACCCATCGAGTAACTAAGCCGAGAGGTGGGACCGGGTACCAGTCTATTGTTGCAGTCGCGCTGAAAGCGCCATCTAGTAGGCCTAGGCAGCAGAGGCAAGTGGTTCTCGCCTTTCTGCAAGATCTGTTTACGTGTGAGATGAGGATGCGTTGATTGTCATCGTAGAGATTGTGTACCAGTTAAAGTGTCTTTATATGTTTCTGTGGTCGTCATAACACTTCGTATATAACAATAATTCACAAATGATATCCAATATCGTTATAGCAGGGCAAGTAATAGTATTTTAGGAAGTAGTCGATTTTTCACAATTGTTCCCCACTCTAGTCTCTAGAGTCTAGTCTAGACATGTCATTGTCGTCATTGATATGAATCATTGAATGATTGAAATGATATAGGGGCCTACTACTACTAGCCACACTTGGTCTCTCTATATATTTCTATGGTTATTACCAAATAATCAACCTTGCATTTTTTTATTTTTATAGGACATTGCTCGTAAATGCGTGTGCAGTTATCAACTTGAAATTGTAAGTAGTAGTACCTGTATTGCTCTTTGAATGTACAAAAATAAGTGTTGTTATGTATTATGACACTAGCTGTTTGTTAATTCACAGAGGCTTGAACCCTACTTGCTGGCCCCATGTACGTAACGCATTAATTGTTACGCAGTGGCTACGCGTCCGGAACCGGTCGCCTATCCTCCAGGCTTTGCGTCAGGACATCCCCACCACCCTCCAACCATCACACCTAATCGCTACACCATAACCCTAACCATCTAACCTCACGCCTAACCTAACGCAAAAAGGGGCTTTGCAACGACGCGCCACGGGCTGGCGTACCCAGCCCAACTGCGAACTAACAAACAAATCGTTGCGGTAGGCCTAGCGGCCTATACCTACGAACTTCGGACTTGTTAACTCCAGATCGCAGTCACGGTTGTTAATAAGATTTCAGTTATTTGGAAGAGACGGCAGACAGGGTGTGATTGTTTATGTGTTATGCGCTATGCCTTGTGTCGTGAATCACACGATCAGCGGATCACGACAACAGTCACTGCCACAAGCCATCACCAACCAGAGACACAACAGACACCAAAATTACAATCAGTGCACAAATACACTGGGCCGCACACTAGTTATCACGTGACAAATATTGTTCCAGTGACTGGTACTCGCCTCGCCACCTCGATTACTCGATGGAGTATCATCGAGGGACGCCATCGAGTAATAGCGCGAGAGGTGGGACGGCGGGTACAGAGTCTATTGTTGGCAGTCGCGCTGAAGCGCCATCTAGTAGGACAGGCAGCAGGTGCAAGTGGTTCATCTCTTCTGCACAGATCTGATTTACGTGTGAGATGAGGATCGCGTTGAATTGTCATCGTAAGAGATTGTGTAGGCGCAGTTAAAGTGTCCTTTAATATGTTTGTGGTCGTATACACTTCGATATTACAATAAATTCACAAATGATATCCAATATCGTTATAGGCAGGGCAAGTATTTTAGGAAGTAGTCCGATTTTCAGCAATTGTCCTCGCACTCTAGTCTCTAGCTGCTAAGACACTGTCATTCGTCGTCATTGACTCTGAACATTGAATGATTGCAAATGATATAAGCGGGCCCACTACCACACTTCGCGTCTCTCTCTATATTCTCTCTATGGTTATTCACCATAAATCACCTTGCATTTTTTTTCTTTTACCAGCATTCGCTTGCGTCGTGCACTATCAACTTGCATTGCTCCAGCTAGTCAGCCGTCACTTGTATTGCATCCTTTGAGCAATGTACAAAATAAAGTGTTGTTATGTATTATGACACTAGTGTTTGTTAATTTCCGAGGCTTGAAGCCTACTTACGCTGGCGCCATGTCGTAACGGCATTAATTGTTACGCAGTGGCTACGCGTCCGGACACGGTCGCTATCCTCCAGGCTACGCGTCAGGACATCCACTCCACACGTGATCGCGCGACTCGCGTACACGCATGATTGCGCAACGGGACGCTCTGCTGCGCCGTCTATCGCGCTTTCACCCGTCCTTTCTCGCCGCTCTCTCTCTCTCTCTCTCACACGCACCACATGCGCAGCTCTCTCTCGCTGCCTCTCTCTCTCACGCATACACAAACACATTCGCCATTCCGTCTCTCTCTATCTCTCTCTCTCTCACACAGTGTTTTAGTCTCGAGGGCGGTCTGGCCTCGTGACCAGCCCTAGAGAGCATTTTTCCTTGAGTCTCGTGTCTGGCCTCGGAGTGCAATGACTCGGACTCGGCTCGGACTGCGGACTCGAGCCCTCCAGACTCGGACTCGGGTCGAGGCCGGCTCGGCCACTACATACATAGTCACACAACTGTACATATTGTAATACGCATTTACAAGAATTTAAAACTAAAACTCGCTAGGTTTTCTAGATACACGGCCTAATCTGTAACGTTTTCAATGGCTCGATTAAGATTCTTGTGCTTTGGTTTGAATCTGCTGTCACTTCGTCCCTTTGCGCTTTTTCTACCATTCTTTCTTTTCTTCTACCATTTCGAAGGTACTAGCACTCTCTCATTTGGGTTCAACAAGCCATGTCATTCTCGTAAAAACACAAATGGATCCGTTACTTTGACCGTTTCGTATGACTCGTGTCACTGTGTTTTCGGCTGACTATACACTTTTGAATGTCTACGATGCAGCTGTTGCGATTTCTCCCTTTTTTCCCTTTTCCCGTTTTTTTCTTTTTTCCCTTTTTCCCGATTTTTTCTCTTTTTTCCGATTTTTTCCCTTTTTTAATCCAAGTGGACTCGGACTGCGACTCGGCGACTCGTGGGTGTGGACTCGGACTCAGACTCGGGTGGCGCAGACTGAGACTCCGGACTCGGGAGGGGGGGGGTGCGGACTCGACTACAACACTGTCTCAACACACACACACAGCCCAGGCTTTACAGATTTTGAAAAGTACAGGAGGACTACTAATGATCCCCTAGGACACCATAGGGGGTCTTTTGCACGGCTCTCCTATCACACCCTTAAGAGGCCATGATGGAGACGCTCACTAAAAATCACACTTAAAAGGGAATGATGGAGAGCTCCTTGAGGGCTCTCGCCACCATGCTCTTGGGTGTGATGATGGAATCATGACCAATCCTCAGTCTAGAGTGAAATCCAAAACGAAAATTGGGATGTCATGTCAATCCTGATTATCATTCATTATCATTCACTTTACTCATTCAATGGCTTCATCATGATTACATTTTCTTTTCATCCAACAACCCAACACTAGCACACAGATTAATAAAAGAGTTGATCGGATGTAAATAAACTTGTTTGATTATTCTGATCTTCATCCTTAGAGACGCTAATCCATGTACCTGCATATTTCACCACAAAATATCATCGCAATCTATCACAAACTAGCACAATTACTTGTACGTTAGTAGCACGTATGTAGCCCTCCAGCCCTACGACTGTTTCACGTCGGCAGAAAACCAGCTTCTCGGCATATAGTGGAAAACGAGCAGGTTAACTGTGGGCTACCGTGTAGGTACCTATATTTGATTCTGTTGTCTAGTTGTATAAACCAGAGAGTAGTAACCTGTACCTCTGTCATACGTTCAGTTAGCTTACACACCAAATTGTTGTGTGTTCGGCTAACCTTGTAATAATGTGGACAGGTGGCATTGCCAGTATTTACTAGTTTTACTAGTATCAGGAGCTATTAAATGACATTTGTCATTATTAGCTCTGCTAGTATTACTAGTAGTACTAGTAGTACTAATGGACTTTTGGTGGCGCGATATTTAAACCATTTTATTAGGCGGATGATGCACGCACCATGGCAACATTTGGGGTGCGCTGGGCGCGATCAGGCCCTTAAAAATGAAAGCCTGCACACACACACACACACACGGCAATCAGCAGAGCGTCCCATTGCGCAATCATGCGTGTATGTGTCGCAACCATCACTCCGAACCTCCCTAACCATTATTCATTAGCTCCAAGAAATGGTATTGCTAGGCCTAGGCTAGCGGTTAGAAACCCCTAGAATAATGTATATTGACGTTAGTCACACAGCCTGGTCGGGTTAGTTTACCTAACCATATGAACGATAACCGTAGTTACTGTAATTCTGACCTCGTCATTAAAATCTGAGAGGTGCGGCTAAGGTCGCCTTGGCCCAGTAGACAAATGAATTGCCCACGTCACGTTATATGAAAAATTTTACAACCTATTCTTGAATTTGAGTTAACAGTGCATAGTTTGGAACAATGTTTATGTTAGAAAACACTACATGGGAAAATATGCTGTGAAAATGGCACACCTGCTTTTTGTGAGGAGTCGATCAACTTTTATTTTACTCGTCCCACTACGCGCTTGCAACTTGTAAGATGTCAAGTGTCTTAGCAGGCATGTTAAAGCGGCCAGCCAGTTGGTCCTACGCTAATATTGAGTGAACAACACCACTAGGGCTGTAAGATCCACCGAAATCGAATCGATCGCGATTCTCTCCCTCGATCCGATCTCGATATTTTTCCCTGTATTTTCGATTCCACTTCGATACCCCTTTTTTCCTCCATAATGCGGGCACTACGCTTATACTGTGTAGTTGTTTCTCAGCAACTGTGCACTGTATATATAACATAGAGATGTATAAATAGTATACATGCCCTATGAATATTACTTCTAAGACTCTCTAGTCTATTCACCATTTATATATCATTGGCAATTTCTAATAATTTATTATTGCAAAATAATAAAATATAAAAAATAAGATATAACATTTCAATATTTT